AATAGTATGTAAAATTTATGTCTATATAATAATCTCTGTGCACCAGCCATTGAACCTTTAGAGCGAGCGATTATTTTCTTTGTACTCTAACCACTTAGCTGCGTGTTTTCTTGGTAGGAGTAAAGGTTGTATGAAGATGGCACAGTGTTGATAGCAGACACAAAAAGAAAATTACAAGAATTCCTAAAGAAGGTAGTAAAGGAAAGAAAGAAGAAAGGACTAAATATCACTTCCAATGTATCGTTTTCAGCAAAAGAAACATCGCAACATGCAAATTACAAATTGGGTATAACATAATCAAACAAGCATAACAATCTAAATATCAGGGAAGCCTGAAATCGAAGGCCCATTGGGATAGCGAAAAGATGCCTTTCAAAACTAAGCAAAGTATTATTTATTTAATACTTTGCTTAGTTTGAAAATTTCGTTAGAAACAAAGAAAACTGTACTGAATTGTTACGTAAGTCCCCCTATATGGCAGTGAATATTGGACAATCTCCTCACAGAGTATTGAACTGTTACTTAATATAAGTCCTCCTATATGGCAGTGAATGCTGGACAATTTCCTCACAGATAAAGAAGAGACTTGAAGTAACAGAAAAAAGAAAAGAGTACTAAACTGTTACGTAATATCAGTCCTCCTATATGGCAGTGAATGCTGAATAATCTCCTCACAGATGAAGAAGAGACTTGAAGCAACAGAAACAAAGAAAAGAGTACTGAACTATTACGTAATATCAGTCCTCCTATATGGCAGTGAAAGCTGGACAATCTCCTCACAGATGAAGAAGAGACTCGAAGCAACAGAATCAAAGAAAAGAGTACTGAACTGTTACGTAATATCAATCCTCCTATATGGCAGTGAATGCTGGACAATCTCCTCACAGATGAAGAAGAGAATTGAAGTAACAGAATCAAAGAAAAGAGTACTGAACTGTTACGTAATATCAATCCTCCTATATGGCAGTGAATGCTGGACAATCTCCTCACAGATGAAGAAGAGACTTGAAGCAACAGAAACAAAGAAAAGAGTACTGAACTGTTACGTAATATCAGTCCTCCTATATGGCAGTGAATGCTGGACAATCTCCTCACAGATGAAGAAGAGACTCGAAGCAACAGAATCAAAGAAAAGAGTACTGAACTGTTACGTAATATCAATCCTCCTATATGGCAGTGAATGCTGGACAATCTCCTCACAGATGAAGAAGAAGAGAAGCAAGAGAAACAAAAAAAAAGAGTTGAACTGTTAGAGTCCTCCTAAAATGCAAAGAAAAAGAGTACTGAACTATTACGTAATATCAGTCCTCCTATATGGCTGTGAATGCTGGACAATCTCCTCACAGATGAAGAAGAGGCTTGAAGCAAAATAAACAAAGAAAAGAGTACTGAACTATTACGTAATATCAGTCCTCCTATATGGCAGTGAATGCTGGACAATCTCCTCACAGATGAATGCTGGACAATCCTCCTCACAGATGAAGAAGAGGCTTGAAGAAAAAAAACAAAGAAAATAAACAAAGAAAAAGTACTGAACTATTACGTAATATCAATCCTCCTATATGGCAGTGAATGCTGGACAATCTTCTCACAGATGAAGAAGAGACTTGAAGCAATAGAAACAAAGAAAAGAGTACTGAACTGTTACGTAATATCAGTCCTCCTATATGGCAGTGAATGCTGGACAATCTCCTCACAGATGAAGAAGAGACTTGAAGCAAAATAAACAAAGAAAAGAGTACTGAACTATTACGTAATATCAGTTCGCCTATATGGCAGTGAAAGCTGGACAATCTCCTCACAGATGAAGAAGAGACTCGAAGCAACAGAATCAAAGAAAAGAGTACTGAACTGTTACGTAATATCAGTCCTCCTATATGGCAGTGAATGCTGGACAATCTCCTCACAGATAAAGAAGAGACTAGAAGCAACAGAAACAAAGAAAAGAGTACTGAACTGTTACGTAATATCAATCCTCCTATATGGCAGTGAATGCTGGACAATCTCCTCACAGATGAAGAAGAGGCTTGAACACAAAGGAAACAAAGAAATGAGTACTGAACTGTTAAGTAATATCAGTCCTCCTATATGGCAGTGACTTGAAGCAACAGAAATGTAGTTCTACAGAAATTTGCTTGGAATTCCACGAACACGTGAGCAACGACGAACCAAAAAGACACTTAAGATCAGAAAGGGACAGTTAAATTTTCTAGGGCGAATAATGAGAAAAGAGGGCTTGGAAAATTTGATTGAAGGCAAGAGGGAGAGAGGAAAACATAGCATAACCTACCTAACGGGTTTTAATAAATAGATGGCGGAACGAGGTTTAGAAGAGAAAACAAAAAAGCCAGAAAGGGCGGGAAATTGTGAAGAGCCATGATCGCCAACTTCCTGAAGGGACTCGGTGCTTAGAAGAAGAAATCTCTCCTTGCGTCGGCCATCGAACCTTTAGTCCGTGCGATTTAAAAAAAAAAATTTTTTTCTTTGTACTCCAACCCCTTAGCTCGGAGGGTGTTCTTGACGGCTGTAAAGGTTGTTCGTACTTTATGAACATTGCGCGCGTACACACACGCATACACAAAAAGAAAAAAGTAAAAAATGTAAAAAAAAAACACACACACACAAGGATAAACAGACTGACTTAAGGTTATTGCGTATACGAAATAAAACGGAAGAGATTTCAATATCTAAATTCAGAAACTGTGATTTTCATATTAAAAAAAATAGACTTCTGAAAAAAAAAAAAAGAAATAGCTTTTGAGAGATTTGATAAAGTTAAAGAGAATAAAAAAATTCAGTATAATAGAAGCAGATATTTTAAGTACTAGAATGGAAAGCCAAAAAAAAAAAAATGCCGGGCAATAAGTTTAAGAATAAATCGACGAAGAGCAAGACAGGATTTATTTATTATTTATTTATTTTTAATCTTGCAAATTTAAAAGAACCAATTGCATTCTGGGAAAGAGGTGGCATAAAAAAACGTAAAAGAAAAGTTAATGGAAAGTTTGTTTAAAAAACAACAACAACAAATAAAAATACAAGATAACGGAAGAAAAAAGGAAAAAGAAAACTGCATTTTATTAGGGAGAAAGTCTGTTGGTAAAGGGAACCAATGGATATATAGTTAGAGAATATGGAATGGAATGGAGTAAGAGAAATAATGAAAGGGAAAAGAAAAGAAAACGGAGTAGGAATTAAAGAGATAGAGGAAAGGAAAGAAAGGGTAGAAAGTAAGAAGAATAAAAGTGGGTGGGAGATATGAGAATAAAGAGGGAGAGAAAACAGTCGAAAGACGGATATGAATGAGAAGAGACAGTAAGAAAAGAAAACTATATAAATGCTAGAAAGCAAGAAGAATGAAAGCGAGTGGGAGACATGGGAATAAAGAGGGAGAGACAACAGACGAAAGACGGATATGAATGAGAAGAGAGAAGAGAAGAGAAAGTAAGGTAAGAAGAGAGAGAAAACTATATAAATGATAGAAAGCAAGAAGACTGACAGCGAGTGTGAGATATGGGAATGAAGAGGGAGAGAAAAAAATATACGAAAGACAGGCAAGAATTACAAAGCGAAGAGAAAGTAAGGAAAGAAGAGAAAGAAAAGGATATAAATAAGAGAAAGCAAGAAGAATAAAAGCGAGTGGGTGATGTGAGAATAAAGAAGGAATGGAGGCAGACACGAACCAAAGAAAGAAGAGAAAGTAAGAAGAAAGAGAAAATGAAAACAATAATAGGGAGAAGGAAGAAAGAGAATTAAGACAATAAAATTTTATTAGAAGATTGAAAAGTGAAAAAAAGATGAACGAAAAGGAAAAGGGAAAAATGTTGTAAGAAAATCAAAATAGACTTATATATATATATATAGGTAACTATACTCGTTTCGAAAAACCTTCGAATTTTTGATTTGCCAATAATCAAATCAATCTCGATGGAAAAAAAGGTTTTAAAAAAAGAAAGAGTCAGGAACATGAAAGTCTGTCGAAAAAAATCGCACTGATACAAGTTTAAAGCCCAAAGAAAAAACCCCGATATGAGTAAACAACTAACTAACAAAAGAACCCAATACAACCGTAGAGCAGACCTAGATAAACCCAGGGAGCCAGACAAACCTACCTAGGTTTTCACCTAAGCGATCGTCAGGGAAAGCCGGCTTTCCCTGACGATCCGCTTAGGTGAAACCTGGGTAGGTTTGTCTGGCTACTAGGTTTATCTCTCTCTCTCTCTCTCTCTCTCTCTCTCTCTCTCTCTCTCTCTCTCTCTCTCTATCTATATATATATATATATATATATATAATTATATATATATATAGCTATATAGATATAGATATATATAGTGAGAGAGAGAGAGAGAGAGAGAAATAAAAAAAGAGGCATGGCGAAATATTTATAAGTCGACCATTTTCCCTGCTTTGAACATTGCTGTAACTTCTGGTCTGTAGATAGCTTCTGTTATGTATTTAGAAATTCTTGATAAAATCCAAAGAAGTATCTACAATGTTGTGGATCCTGACCTGGCATCTCGGCTTCAGACAATTTCCTACCACCGTAACGTTGTGTCGCCGTGCTTTTCCTCTTTTGGAACCTTGACTTTACGAATTTAAGTGCAGTACTAGATTGGCAGCTAGGTCTCATCATTTTACATGTGAAATTGCTAGATATAACCGTCACTTCTACGCTAACATTTTCCTCTGTCGCACTTCTCGCTTATGGAACTCTCATCCAGCTTTCCAGTCAACATTGATCTCCAAAAACTTAAAACGTTTTCTTCTGTTTTATTCATACCTGTTCTTTTATTGTCTTCTCTTCTTAATAATTTTTTCTCAGTAACCACTTGCGTCTTAATGGCTTTATCATCTTGCTTGGGGTGAAATGATTAAAGTAATAATAATAATAATAATAATAATTGTAATAAAGTAACAACTCTAAGTAGAAGGTTATGAAGGTTTATTTGACTTATTCAGTCTTAGTGCTGAAAAAAGTTTATTTTATTTTAATGGGTGATTAAAAGCAAGAGGAGAGATGGAATGTGCTTATTTCATTGCTACAATAATAATAACAATGATAATAATAATAATAATAAGAAGAAGAAGAAGAAGAAGAAAAAAGACGCCGAAGCATGATGAAAGAGAAGGTTAGAAAAAGAAGAGGAAGAAAAGGAAGAAGAAGAAACACGATAAAAGAGAAAGTTAGAAGTAGAAGCCGGCGACGACGACGAAGAAGAAGAAGAAGAAGAAGAAGAAGAAGAAGAAGAAGAAGAAGAAGAAGAAAAGACGCCGAAGCATGATGAAAGAGAAGGTTAGAAAAAAAAAAGGAAGAAGAAGAAACATGATGAAAGAGAAAGTTAGAAGTAGAAGCCGGCAACGATGACAACGACGACGTCGACGAAGAAGAAGAAGAAGAAGAAAAAGAACAACAACAACAACAACAATAACTAGGTTTGATTGCAGAAGAAACAGAACAAAGACAAGAAACGAGAAAACAGAATAAAAATAATTGAAAGTTTTTACAATAAAGAAAAAAAGGATAGTGAAATATGAAGAAAATAAAAAAAGAAGGCGTGTGATGAAGAAGAAATTAGGATTGAAGAAGAACCGGAAGTATCAAAACAGGCGCCGAATGAAGGAGAAAAGAAGAATATAATTGACATTGCAATAAAGAAGAAGGTCACAATAAAGGACTGAATAGGCAGAATATGGTTAAAAATTAGTAAAAAAAAATGAACGAAATTAAATGTGGAAAAGTAAACGAGAAATAATTTAAAACACTCGGGTATTGCAGCAAATAAGGACTGAAATTTGAAGGCAAATAGAAAGAAAGAAGAACCGTGAAGAAAAACGTCATAAAAAATAGATGAAAAGAAGACAAAATGTTTTTAAGAGGGATGGTGAAATGTGAAATAAAAATGAAGGAGAATGAGGAAGAAAGTTTGATTGAAGAAGAATCAAAAGAATGTAAATAAACAATGAAAAATAAAGGAAGATGATTGAATGGGAAGAGCGATACAAAAGAAAACATGGCGGAAAAGCATGAAGGAGAAGTTGATCGAGTTGATATTTGGAAAAGAAACATGACAAGAAAATCGAAAATGAAAATGGAGGAGGAAATGACCGGAGAATGTTTGACAAAAGACGCGTTCGAAGACGACATGAAAGAGAACTAATCTAAAAGCTGTTAAAAAATAATAAGAAAAATGAAGACGAAAAGTAGAGCTAATGAGGAAGAAGAAGAAGAGGAGGAGGAGGAAGGAGAAGAAAAAGAAGATGAAGAAGAATGATGATGATGATGATGATGATAAAGAAGAAGAAGAAGAAGAAAAGAAAGCCGAAGAAAAGAAGGATGATGATGATGATGGAGAAGAACAGAAGATGAATGATGATGATGAAAAAAAGTGAGAAAAGAAGGAGGTGAATGAAGATGATCATGATCATGATAATGAAGATGATGATGAAGGAAATGACGAAGAAAGGATATTGACGATGATGATGATGACGGAAAAGAAAAGATGGCTGATGAGAAGAATTGTGAAGGAGGCGTGAATGTAGAAGAAGGAAAAGAAAGAGAAGAAGAAGATGATGATGATGATGATGAAAAAGGAAGAGAGGGAAGAAATGAGGGAAGAAGAGGATGAAGAAAGAAGATGGATGATGATGATGATGATGATGATGATGATGATGAAGAGAAAGACGAAGAAAAGGATGATGATGATGAAGAAGAAAAGTGGGTGATGATGATGATATGGAAAGAAGGTGGTGAAGAATGGTGTAGAAGAAGAAGAAGAAGAAGAAGAAAGAGGATGAGGAGGAGCAAGAGGAGATGATGATCATGATGATGATCATGAAGATAATCATGATAGGCAGGAAGGATATTTTGATGAAGAAGAAGAAGAAGAAAGAGGATGAGGAGGAGCAAGAGGAGATGATGATGATCATCATCATCATCATGAAGATAATAATGATAGGCAGGGAGGATATTTTGAAGAAGAAGAAGAAGAAGAAGAAAAGCAAGAAAATTGAAGAAGAAATGGACAAGAATTCGAAGAAGCGGATGATGGCAAACTAATAAAGAAAGGATGTGTGTGTGTGTGTGTGTGTGTGTGTGTGTGTGTGTGTGTGTGTGTGTGTGTGTGTGTGTGCGTGCATGTATGTAGGGAGGGAAGGAGAGTGGGGATGTTTAAAGGGGCGGATGATCGCTGAAAGGAGGTCCGTTAGGGTGTATTTCTTTGCAGTGCAAATGTCATGTTTTAAGACGGCCATAAAATAGGCGGGTGTGAGGGGTGAAAGATAGAATCGAGCAAGAGGCGATGACAGACAATTCAGGCGGAAAACAGCAACAAACAACATTAGAAAGTAAGAAAGAAAGAATGTGACAAGGTGGGAGACACTGGACGCAAACAGTGAGAAGGAGAACTTCGAAACTGGGAGAAGAAAGAAAGGAACAAAGAATGAAGGGGAAAGACACAGAGAGAAATATTTCAT